TCACATTATAAAAAAATAAATAATTATAAATAAAATATATATTCAAATAATGGTTTAACCCATCTCAAGACACCCAATGCACCATCAATATCAAGTCTTTGGACAGTAATATTAACTACTAGAGGTATCTTGTTGTAATAATCAAACATTGACAATAAAGCACGTCCAACAACAAACCAGTCTTTGGATTGATTTATCATCGACAAAGCAAATCTTTATAATTATCACATGTTTATCATTACAAGTGTATATGCAATTCGGCCAAATATTAATCTTCCTTTGGGCCGACTAATACTCGCATGAATATACACAAACACTAACATTTAATATTTTTTACGAACTACCCAATTCAAGAGATGTTACTTTGGTAACTTCTTGACTCAATTTGCTAAAAAAAAATATTAAACTACCAAACAAATTAATATTTTATTTATGCAATAAAATCAAATATATATATTCCTCTAGATTAGCAAAGAACTCCTTTGCAATTCCTGTAATGTTGTTGTTTAAGGCAGTGGGTCCCACGGCATTAACTCTAGGTTATAAAGTTTACTTTTTTATATGTATTTAAGAATGCTGCAAATGATTGAACAAACCCAAATGGTGGTAATTCAATCATATATAAATTGTCATATACCATAATTGAATCCAAATGTTGTATACCATTCGCGCAACAACGTTTCCTGCAGTGACCTTGCCAGGCCCATAGATTACTCCAGGATACAGTAACACTATTGGCACCCCCTCCGACGCAGCTTGAAACGCAATCTTATCCGCAGCGACCTTTGATTTCTCATATTCCGTACAGAAATACTTCTCGTGATGGACTTGATTCTCGTTGCCAATGCCTCTGACAGTTGGTCCGAGAGCGAAAAAAAATGACGTATACAGGAGTTTTCTTCACCGTGCGAGTCTCCTTCACTACCGTCAACACGTTTTTCAATCCTCCAACGTTGACAGAGAAAAATTTGGAGGGATCGGGAAGCCAGGGTTCGACGAGGGCGGCGAGGTGGAAGAGGATGGTCCAGGAGGAGTTTGGGGGTTTTACCCTCAAATTCGAAATTAGGTTTTAAAATTTGGGATTTTACCCCAAATTTGAATCTAGGGTTCATAAAATTGGAAGATTATTCTCCAACTAGGTTCTTAATTAGTCAGAATCTCATTTTCAAATGCAAACATGAATCAAGTATGGGTTGCTCTGATACCAATTGTAAGGTTAAATCTTCTTCCTTATGATCAAACATACATATATAATCCCATACTGTAAACATGTTATGAACTAAATGCGAAAGCGTACCTGAATTATCCATAATGATGATATTCTTAGTAGAGCACTTTTGATTTGATCTTATGGTCTTTCACCTGAAGAGCACCTGTATTTCCCTATTGATTTTCTCTCTTGATGGGGATAGAAAGAAAAGAACGGGACTGTAAATGTAATTTTTCTGTGTGCTCTCAGAAGGGGACCATGACCCTTTATATAACCAAAATTAGGTTAATTACTTAAGTTTTAGTATTTCCAATTTGACCCCTCATCAAATTAGAAATTACTTTATGGTCTCTACACAATATTATTTTCATGACATATGCCTTTAGCCAAAACTTTAATTTATTCATATCACTTTATTATTTGGCTTAATAAATAATGACCCTAACACATTCAAATATGTATCATATATATACATGACCCAAAATTTGCTAACATGATGATCATAGATGGAGGTAGTTACACCAATGTGGCTAGTGCTAGATTAGTGTCAAAGCTAAATTTACTTACTAAACCACATCCTAGACCTTATAAACTTCAATGGCTTAGTAAGGATGGAGAGGTGCAAGTGAGAAAACAAGTTGAAGTGAACATTTTTATTGGAAAATACAATTATAAGGTACTTTGTGATGTTGTTTCTATGGAGGCCAGTCACTTACTTTTAGGAAGACCGTGACAATTTGATAAAAGAGTTCATCATACCGGGTTCACCAACAAGATCTCTTTCATGCACCAAGACAAGAAGATTGTGCTCAAACATTTGAGTTCACAAGAAGTGTGTGAGGATAAAAAGAAAATGAGAGAAAATCTTCTTCAAGAGAAGAGAGAAAAAAAGAGCGATAGTGAAACACTTGAGAAGAAAAAAAGTGATCAAAAGAAAAGTGAAACACTCGAATTGAGAGAGAACTATTTAGCCACAAAAAAGTGAGTATAATGTTAGTTTTACATTCAATTTGTCAGACTTATCTGTTTTTTTTTGTAGATGACGAATTCGATTTGAGGACAAATCATTTTCAAGATGGAGAGAATCATGTGGACATGAACTATGACAAGAGCTAGAGCAAGAGAAGTAAAGAAAGTTATTCAACAAGTATTGTTGGTTAATCAAATTGTGCTTTGGATTAATCAAATAATGAGTTTTAGTTTGATTTTATTGTAAGTTGTAATAAAAACTCAATTGAAAACTTAGTCATCAGTCTTTGGGGGGACCAAAAGGCTGCATAGCTGATTGACTCTTAGTTGTCACAATTTCAGTTATAATTAATCGTTAAGTAGTATCAATTCCTAGGTTAATAGATCATTATTAACCTTTATTTGTCTCCATTACGTAGTTTTCAATTCCTGAGTTAATGAATCATTATTAACATTTATTTTCCTTTATTGAATCTTTGTAATTCTGATAACAAAGCTTCTATATAGGTTGAACCATATTTTTATCAAATATAACAAGTAGAATTTTATTCAGAAATATTAGAGTTTATCTCTTTTATCTTAGTGAGAGTGATTCTCCTAAATTTTTGAGTGATTCAAGAACACTTGGTTGTATCAAAGGACTTTCACATCCTTTGTGAGTTGCCTCCTTTGAAAAAAATGATTATTTCATTTCACCTTATCATTAAATTCCTAAATTTCCTACAAGGTTCTAATCCTAAAGATCCTAAATCATCGCTTATGCTATTGAGATTCATATAAGGACAAAACTGTGACGAATAAAAATTTTAAAACGGACAATACATAAAAAATGAGCCTAACGATGTTATCATAATAGACATGATGTCGGGACACTCTTATCCTTAACACTACAAGAATTTGCATATTTGCGACGGATTTTTACCGACGGATATAGAATTTGGTCTTACCGACGAATATATCCGTCGGTAAATCCGTCGGTAAATTAACAATTAATTACGGACGGATATATCCGTTGGTAAATTAACAATTATTTACCGATCGGATATTTTCGTTCGGTAAATCTATCGGTAAATTAACAATTAATTATCGATCGAATATATCCGTCGCTAAAATTGTATAATAATTACTCAATATATTCTAATAAATTAATTATTCACCTAATTAAAAATTAAATATTTTTTATTTAATAATTTAATTTAATCATAATTAGATTAATTTATAATAATTTATTAAATTAAATAATTTAAAAAATAAATATTTAATTATATAAATATCTAAATATCTAAATATATATAAATATATAAATATATAAAAATATATAAATATATAAATATACAAATATACAAATATACAAATATATAAATATACAAATATATAAATATAAAAATATAAAAATGTATAAATATAAAAATATATAAATATATAAATATATTGTATTTATATATTTATTTGGATATACATCTATTTTTATATAAACATAATTTATTATAAAATATAATAAAAAAATTATAGTAACTAGTGGTTGAAATATCAGTTTCAATTCTAAAGATCTTGGTTCGAATTCATCGAGTGATAATTCATTTAATCTAAATTATAATTCAAACTTCTAAAAAGTGAGAAATAAATTTTATAAAAGTGAAGGAATGTCTTTAGAAAAAAATTTATAAAAAATTTACCGAACTACCAATATTAATATAACGATTGAAACATTATCTATATGTTATATATTTACCCTCTCAAAATATGTTCTTAAATTTACGGGAAAAAAATATGGTAGTTTTAGGGACAAAAAATACTATCCAGTTCATTTTGAAAGATAAAAAACATTGTTATCTAAATTATTTTTAAAAAAATAACTTTTCAAAAAATATTAGACTTTAGACTAGGTTGGGATAAACCTAAATACATTTTAAAATACATTGAATGTAATTTTATAATTTGAATCCATAAAAAATTTGATCCATACAATAGAATGAATTGGGCAATGAACTCTTCACTTACCACGCATTTCTTTCACCCTCCCTCAGACACAGGCACACAATAAAAAAAGTTATTTTAAGAGTAATTTAAGAAATAAAAAATAATTGTAAAAATAAAGAGAAAAGCTGTTTATAATTATTTTAAAAGTAACTTGATTTCTTCTTCTTTTTCTCATTATATATAAAGAGAGTTTAACGATTATTATGTATAAATTATGTTTAATTACATAATTGTTATTAACATATCTTTTAAAATAGTAAAAATTAATAAACATCTTATAATGTTGAAAATTTTGCTTAATATACATAAAATTGTAAATTAAAAGTTTACTTAGAAAAGCAATATATATAAGGGAAACAGGAAGCAACACTCTAAATTTCCTGCAAAAGGGAAGGTAAAATCACTAACATGACCATGTCAGCGAATCTGGTTACGATTCTCCATACAATAAAAAACAAAAACAAAAAAAAAAAGGTGACCAACTACGTGTTTGAAGGACAAACACTGTTCCAAACATGCATTCTAGGCAGTCAAATTTTTCAAACACTTTTGCTCTTTTTCGTCAATACGTAGTATTTTCTCCAGTCTAGACATTAACATGGACTACCCCCACCGAAATTCAAACCAGAAACTTAAAAAACTGTTCTTTGATCAAACCCTTTACCACATCTTTTCTATATATAATGCACCCACCCTTCGCCTCTTCCTCTACCAAGCACCTTTAAAAACCCAAAACACTAAGACCAAACACAAATTCGTACCTAGAACATAGGCACTACATTCATTCATACATACAAAACAAATATTTTTTTTGCATATACCAAGGTAACTTGTTGAAACCATGCAACATTTGCCAGCCACGTTGTGCCGCAAACTGGCTCGTCCAGCATGCGATGTGTTCATAAACCACCGTGGGATCGACACGAAAAGGAACATCGCGGGGTTGCTCTATGACCGTTTGACGAGGATGGAAGTGCGGTCGTTTTTGGACAGCATGAACATGAAACCTGGGGACAGGTTGTTCCATCACATCGACAGGGCCATTCTCGGGTGCAAAGTGGGTGTTGCGGTGTTTTCTCCACGTTACTGTGAGTCGTATTTTTGTCTCCATGAACTCGCTCTTCTCATGGAGTCAAAGAAGAGGGTTGTCCCCATCTTCTACGACGTTAAACCTTCGCAGCTCGTGGTCAAGGACAACGGAACTTGCCCTTCTAAAGAGCTTCAGAGGTTCTCTTTGGCACTCGAGGAAGCTAAATACACTGTTGGATTGACCTTTGATTCTTTCAAAGGGTACGTATTACGTACTACACTGCCAAAAATATAATAATCAAGACAAAATAAAATTAATGCTAAATTAAATTTTCTTTTCGCTTTAGCACTTGTTAACCTGTTAGATTAAGTAATGCAATTGTTAAATTTGATGGGTTTTCAGGGACTGGTCAGAGACGCTTAGGGATGCTTCTGATGCAGTGATCATGAACTTGCTGGAGGTAGAGGAAGAGCGTAAGCGCATGAAGAGGAAACTGTGAATACTAATTCATCACAATAGAACACTGAACACTGAACATTTTTTTTTTTTTGGCTCGTATATGCTCTCAAATGAGACCCATATACGTCCTCTAACATCAATCAATTTATGCCCTAAATTAATCGCTTAATTGATTGATTTAAGCCCCAACAATTTGCATTGCCATAATTCATTTTTATTTTTTTTACACATGCAGCATTGGTTTAGTTTCCAACAGTCATTTCTGTTTTTCTGAGATCTTTTGTTGTATCATCTGTATCCAGTCCCTTAATTTGGGATTATTGAAAATTTATCATATTCAATAAAATTTCAACACCAACCATAAGAAGTGTGTTAACAAAAGTATACTGAAGGTTGTGTTGTGTTAACATTTCTCATTATAAAATTATATATATAACAATGAAGATTATTTAGTCATTCCACAGAAGCCTACAAAAAATATTTAATCTAAGCACTATTCAAATTGTATAATATGTTTTCATTATATAATATTTTATATATCATTCGCATAGATATCAAAGTATATGCAATGCAAATTCATTTGCAATTCCTGAGAAATATTAGGAATACATTCTCTTTTAAATATTCCTGGTTAAAATTTAATATAAATCGTCACTTTTGTGGGTATGATTGTCACATGTCACGTGATGTCTTATGGAGATAATTTTTTTAAGTTTGAAATTTTATACCGTTTATCAGTTTAAAAGAATAGTTTGCCACATAATTTTTGTTCGTACATAAATGTTATCTGTTAAAAAAAGTATGAAAATTAATTTATTAACAAATTTCACTATTTTTTTATCCAAGTTATACGGATCTTCCACATTGCAAGACTTCCATCGAAATCATTAATACTTTTATAAATTAAATTAATATGCATTCTTTTAAAAGTGACTAGTTAATTTCAGTTTACTTTCTCCGAATATTTTCTGAAAATTTTTCAATAATCTGTGCATACTTTTAATGATTTGAAATTTTCATTTCTTGAACCTCTTTAGGGCATTCGAACGAGAATATTTCCCAATATCTTGTTCAGATCTTTCCATTGCCTAATAAAAAATATTTCTTGTATAAAAATAGTTAAGGTGGGTTAATTATTTTGGAAATAAATAAATCATTCTTAAGTCCGTTAATAAATATTACATTTCATCATGAATAATTCGTATCAATATTAAGATTGCTGTCAAGAGAAATTTAATAGAGATAATTTTAGATTTAGCCTATATTAATTATTTATTTATTTATAAATGGTATACTCTAACCTCAACTTTATATTATGATAATATTATCTATTTAATATAATATTTATTTTGAAGTTTTAATCCTTTCTTATTTTATCTTATTAATGGTTTCCTATGTTTATTAGTCTCATATAATTTAAGAGTTAATATTAAGATAATTTATATTTTTTTTCTTAATCTACCAAAATATATTTTAAGAATAAAATCATAATTAAAAAGAGTTTAAAAATAAATAATATCTCAAATAAAAAATCGATCTTCACAATATTATAATAGCATGAACATAACGTCACACACACTTTCGTTACTAAATCAAACATAAATTATTATAATATTTCAATTTCTAAGGTAATTAAAAGTCATGAGTAGATACTACAAGTCCTAGAAAATTTCAGCTTTGTGTTTTTCAACAAGCAGCACTTATCTAATCTCACACCGTCCACGCACAGAAAGGAATTATTAATGGCAGGAAATTTACACTGCATATTCTGGGTTATTTCTTACACGTCATTAAAAATGCAAAGTGGGTTTACATTCGATATTAAGTTCTTAACCATGAAGACGCGCTAATTAATTGGAAAATCAACCACCATATCTATCTCAATTCTCAAGTGATAGTGATTAATCATTAATTATATTTTGTTGCACAATTAATGATTATTTTATCCACATTTTCTATGCTCTTAGCACACCATCCTTCTCCAAATATTTGTTTATTCAGTATTCTACGCATAAAAACTGTAACTTTCAAAAAGCGCACTTTTACCAAACAAATATGACTCAAATATACCTATCAAATTTCATAAATATATTTGTTTGAATAAAATATTCTAAGTATTAATTCCAATCATTAAAATAGTATATTAGGTATTAATTATAAAATAAATTAAGCCTTAAATATTAATTACTAGTTTCACATATTACATAAAATATTCAGAAGTTTCTAATAAATATTGGGTATGTTAAGTCTAAAGTTTTATAAATGACATGTGCGTTATTCTTTAGATTATATAGCCAAGAAAATTCTTATGTATTGAAATCAAATTTTAGAAGACATATAATTAAAAATATTTTTTATGGTTTATATATAGTCATATGTTTCACATATTAAAAAAAATTGTTAGAACATCATACTTAATGTCATAAAATTAAAGAAAAATACAATAAGAAGTAAGAGAAAAGAAAAATATGTTATACTTGATTTCAAAATACAAATTTTTTTTATATTAATATTTTATATATATATATATATATATATATATATATATATATATATATTAAAAAAATTAGGGGGCCTAACCCTAGTCTGCTATGTGGTTTTTCGTCTAGCATTCAATGTACAATATTATAGATTGACCTACTTTGAAATTGAAAAAAAAAAAACGATTTTTACATAAAAAATTATGTAAAATTTGAAACAAATAATAATTTATAAGATAATGTAAAAGACTCTTATAATAATTTTTTACAGAGTTATTATTTATTCTGCTAATATAGCACACAAGCAATCATTTTACACAACATTAACTCCTCTTGAATTAATTAGAAAACAGAGTTTATAACACTGATTTGTTCTACTTGTCGTGGGAGTAGTCTCAACTTGTAAAATAAAATTTTCAGTCCCTATTAAATTAAATTTAAAGTTTGAAAATCATAAACAAACAAACATCAAAACATAAATATAAATAAATAATAGAAGTTACATTGCACAAACTTTGTAACAATTTAAATTGTTTAATACTATTATAAGTAAAAAAAAATCTAAAATTACACATGATTATCTATTTTTAACTTTTAAAAATTTGGTTGTTCATTTATTTATGATATAATCTATGGTCTTCATAACCAAAATTTTTTTTCCCACTAAATACTTGCCACAAACAAATTATAGACAAAATGTAAAAGAATATGTAAGTCCTTAATAGGTAATAATATCTTATTTAACTTGTTTCAGGATTTTTTTTTTAATGTTGCACATGGCATCATGAATCACATCCATTTTTTAAGATAATTATTAATTTTAATATTTTTTATTAATATCTTTATTATCATAATATTCTTTATATAATAAATATAATTAAAAAAAATAAGAGTATAATTGATACAATGATAATTAATATAATAGGAATTTTGATAAACATATTTAAAAACAACATTTTCTCGATATTTTGAAACTGATAAAATATAATATAGAATTATCTATTACACTAAATAAAATATTATGTTAATTATTTGTTTAAAATGATTAAATATATGAAAAATATAAATTACTTACATTCATCTTAATGTTATTTTTTTTATTTATTTGTGTTTCCATTCATTTAAAGTCTTGAAAATATTATTGGAAAATAAAAAATATCAATTTGAAGATTAATAATTAGTTATGTAATTAAATTTATAATAAAAACATATTCATTTCATATCCTCTGTAAGTTATTGTTGGGTTTACATAAAAAAAACTAATTAATATTATTATCTTTTAAAATAAGTATTGAGATTATTATTTATTTTAATTCAAAATATAAATAATTTAATTATACAGATGAATATAAATATCAATTGTTATAATTTTTATTAAATTTATTAACTTTTGTATTAATATTTTCTTTAATTAAAATATTCTTTAAATAGTAGTAATTTATTATTATTTTTATAATAAATATAATTAAATGATAAAAGTAGAACTCATAAAAGAATAATTAATACCATCTTAAATTTTACAAACGTTATATAATTATAAAATATAGTATATTTTGAAGAAAAGAATAAAAACAATGTCCATCTAATTTACATATTGATTAGAATAATAATTGAATACAATTAATATAAAAATCTTCTTATTATGTTTGAGTTACTGAAAAATTATAAGACATTACGTAATAATGAATATGTAAAAGGGTGTTGTGGAAAGGCTTCTGCTGTTGGTGGTAGTCATAGCTCGCTGAAAAGACGAACTCTGCTTATAATTCAATTTAACCCTGATTAGTAGTAGAAAGAAGGAGATGTGATTAACATGTTTCATTTCATCTTTTTTTTGTTCGACGATTCCGCGCTAAAGCACGCGTTACTTTATTGTCTTGTCCGTAGTGATCCTCCTTTTCGTTTTCTGCACCAATATTAAATTTAAATAAATACCAGATTGAGATGTTATATATACGGATACACATTAGTGTTTGTAAAGATTTTTTCTTTTGACCACAATTTTCACTATTGTTTATTTGTTTTCCTATTTTTGTCTTCTCTCACAAAAAGATGCAAAAGAATGTTATGTTTTCAATAAGAATGAAAATGATCGAAGACAAAGTCATATTCTATATTAAAAAAAAAAAATGAAAACATGTAATTTCACGATACCAACGTTGTATGTGAATGTGACTACGGTTGTTTTCGAGGGAGAAATATGAATTGGAACTTTTTGAGAAATAAATCTCTTACCTTACCCTATTTGGCAAGGCGGTGTCGTTTCCTGGATTGTAGTGGGGGTGTTGAATGAGTTTGAATAAGTGTGGGTCTCTTCTGTGTTTTCTGGGAAATGTGAGTAACGCCATGGTTGTTAATAAATTACTACTAATACTACTACTTGTGTTGGTGGCAGACACTTGGTTCTTGTTAAAGGTGTTTTGTTTCCTTGAGCAACAAAGGGTTCATGTTCACATCCCCCAAACCCAATAACAAAGTAAACACATCTTCTCTCATTTCCACGATTCGTTTTTGGTCAGTCTCATCTTCTCATATTGACCTTTGAATCTTGCATTCAAGG